AAACAGAGGAGAGGAGAGGAACAAAGGGAAGGGAAGAGAAGAGAAAAGAAAGCAGTTCAATGACCTTTGAGTCAGGAAGCCTTGGGTTCAAGTTCAGTCTCTGACAATTCTAGGCTAGGTGGCTATGGGCAATTCATTAACCTCTGAATGGTCCAGGCATTTGCATGACTGTAACTTGCAGGGCAAGTACTGATCTACCCAGTAGGGATTTCATCTGTAATTTGCAGTTTTAGAGAACTACGGTGGAACACTGGGAGGTTAAGTGAAAGCCACCGTTATGATTATCTTTCCAAAGGGTGAATACACTGGCAAGTGGTATAGGTATACACATAGAAGGGCAGACTGTTTTAAAATAGGGGTACTGGGAGATGGAGACTGAATGTAGGGGTGTTAGCATAGTGATATTGGAATTAGCCTATGGAGACTTTGCCATTTTGATTTAGCTACCTTCTCCTTTCATCCCTGCATCCCACTGGTGAGTTGACTCTCACTGGTACAATCTTCCTGGAACCTCCATCTTGAGGAAGGCCCCAGATCCACCATCATTTATTCTCTGAAGTTCACTCCCATAATGTCAAGTGAATTCATTTCCTTCCTTTCTCCCCATTCACCCACTTTCTGCATTTTTTAAAATTTGCTGTCTTACCCCTTTAGAATATGATACTTGAAGACAGAAAGGCTTTTGTTTTTAGTTGTATTTGCATTCCCAGTACATAGCAAAATGCCTGGCACATATAATGATTACATTAGCTCTCATGTTTAAGTACACTGCTGCATGTAATCTTGGAGAGTGTGGTAACACCACTGCATTCTCCTGGTACAATGTCTTTGCCTTTCCATCCCTACCATTCATCTGTGTGCTGACACACAAGGTCTTAACTTGTGAGCAAGGCAAAAAAAAGAAAAATAAAAACAAAAGAAGAAAAAAAGAATTAATTAAAAATATTTATGGGCTTGGAGAAGCCTGTAAAATTCTACAAGAGAGGATTGTGCTGCCGTCTTGGAGCCTGGAAATGAATAAGTTGTTATAGGCCAGGCTGGAGATGATCATGGCTTTAAGTAACTGTAGAGACAAAGATAAAGAGACAAACTAAAGAGATACTATGAATCAACCAATCAATTAACAAACATTTAAAAAAACATTTTCTTTATTCCAGCACTTTGCTAGGCGCTAGAAGATATAAATACAAAGAATGAAAACAGCCCTTACTCACAAGAGACTAATGGAAGGAAAAAGTCTCAGTATTTTATAACAAAGCATACAGTAGTAATCATTATTTTAAATGATTAAAGTAATACAATTAAAGGTTAAAAATGATATGAGGAACCTGAAGGCTTTCTATTTAGAAGATATTTTTAGTATTTATTTATTCATTCATTCATTTAGACTGCTGGTTCAAAAATAATACCCTTTTATGTTTATGACTGAACAAGTTATGGTATATGATTGTTATGGAACACTATTGTGCTGTAAGAAATGAGCTTGATGATCTTAAAAAAACATGGAAAGACTTGCATGAAATAATGAAGAGCGAAACGAGCAGAACCAAAAGTTGTATACAGTAACAGCAATTGTTTTAAGAATGACTTTGAACAAATAAGTAATTTTGACTATTATAAATACCCAAGTTAACTACAAAGGACATATGAAGGAAGAAACTATCTGCATCCAGAGAAAGAAGTGATAAATAGAAGTATATATAGAACGATTATGTGTGTGTGTGTGTGTGTGTGTGTGTGTGTATACATATTTGTGTCTAATAGTAGCCATCTCTAGGGTGGTGGGGAGTTAAAGGGAAAAATAAATTTGCATGATAACTTTATTATATATTTAAATGGAATAGCAAGTTGTACATAATAGATTTGGATTTTTATGTACAATCTTTTTTATTATATTATATTATGGAAATGCTTGTTTTATCCATAAATTAAAAATAAATAAAAATTAAAAAATAATGATATTCTTTTAATATTGTTTGGGACTTGAGGTTAGCTTAGAGAATTTAGCATAACTCAAGGTTCAGTTCTCTATTTCCATCTGCCTACAGGAGAATTCCACTTGAGTTCCCAATTATCACTTCAAATTTACATTCTAAAACTCAACCTCAAGTTCCCATCCTAACTAGTTCTCTTTCCCAACCATCTAATTTTCCAGTCTCTGAGGAGTTATATTTAGATTCTTTTCTTATTCTTATGAAATTGATCCCAGAACCTATGGATTCTTCCTTTGCCATTTTTCTTGGAGTTGTCCCTTTCTTTCTCTTCATTGGCACTGCTATCACCCTATTCCATGTCCACATTACTGAATTATTGCAGCAGCCTGTTAACTGATCTCCTTTCTTCCACTATCTCCTCTCTCCAACCTATCAATTAGGTAATTTTACTATCTCCAATCTCTTCTCTTGACAATCCATTCTTCATAGGCTCCCAAAGCTATCTTTCTAATGATTACTTAGTCACAGGTTTGATCAGGTCACTTAGCTCAAAAACCTCCAATATTTTCTCATTGACTAATAGATAAAATACACATTCATTAGCATGGAATTCAAGGTTCCAATGGACTTTCCAGTCTTGGTTCCTTCTGTTTTCCTTCACATCCTCTATGCTCCAGTCTAAACAGACTACTTACTTTTCTCTGCCTTCTTCTGCCTTTTTATCTTAGCATGTTATCAGCCATGCCTCTACCAGATTCTTCCCTACTCCCAATCTCTAATTGTTCATGTGTTTCCTCTCTCTTAAGAACCGAGTTACCAATTAGCCTTTTTTAATCTTTTTCCCCTAGTCAGAAATCCTTCCCTTCTTGAATTTCTCAGACCATTCTACTCACCCTTTCCCTCACACCCAAACAATTTCTAACTTGTATGAATAGTTATGTGTGTCTATGACATCTCTTCCCCTCAACTCCTTATATGCCCTGGATTATAAGGTACTTGAGTACAAGAATTACTATTTTTCACCTTTATATTCCCAGCATCTAGAACAGTGCCTTGCACATAGCATTAGCTTCATAAATAAATGTTTGTTGAATTTAATTAAATTTAAGTGACTACTAGGTTTTTTCCCTCTCCAAATAGACTGTAAAATTTTGGAAGTCAGTCAGTCAGGCAACAAGCATATATTGAGCAGTTACAATGCACCAGATACTGTTGAGTGCTAGAGATACAAAAAAAAAAAAAGCAAAAAGCACCAGTCCCTGACTTCAAAGAGCATTCATTCTAATGTGAGAAACAACATGTAAACAACTAGGTACATACAAGATACATACAGAGTAGATGAATGATAATTTGCAAGTGGAAGGCCCTAGTAACTGTGACAAGTGGGGAAGACGTCCTATAGAAGGTGGGTTTTGAGCTGATACTTGAAGAAAGTCAAGGAAGGAAGTCAAAAAGCCAAGAGGCAGAGATGAGGGGATAGAGTATTCCAAGCAGAGAGGAAACAGAGGGTTGTCTTCATGGAACTGGAAATAGCCCAGTTTATCTGATCCAGAGAGAATGTGGTAGGGAGTAAAGTCTAAGCAGACTGGAAAGGTAGAAAAGAGGCTGGATTATGAAGAGCTTTAAATGCTAAACAAAGGATTTTATATTTTATTCTAAAGGTAATAGGAAGCTACTGTAGCTCATTTAGCACTAGGATGATATAAGCAGACCTACACTTTAGAAAAATCACCTTGCCAACTGAGTGGAAGACAGATTGGAATAATGAGAGACTTTGAGGCAGGGAGGGAAATCGGTCAGAAAGTTATAGCACTAGTACAGGCGAGAGGTGATGAACTAGGCTTGTATGGGAGCAGAGAAATGTTGTGAAGATAGAAAGGATAAGATTTGGCTACGGATGGGATCTGTGAGGTTAAGGTGAGGGCTTAAAGGTAACACTGAGGTTGTGAGCCTGGGTGACTAGGAGGATGGTTGTGCTCTCAACAGTAAGAGAGAATCATAGAATTCGGTAGGGTGTGATGGAGTTGGGTAGGGAAGGAGAGGTAATGAGTTTTATTTTGGACATGCTAAGTTTGAGATACCTATGCCATATTCAGTTTAAGATGTGCAAGAGACAGTTGGAAATGGGTCACTAGCTTAGACTAGGGCAGTATATAAAAATGTGAGCATCATCTGCATAGAGATATTAATTGATACCATGGGAGCTGAGGTCACCAAGTTTGGTTCGGGGTAATATAAAGGAAATAGGGCAGAGACCATACATTATAGGTCTTTGTATTTATGCCAACACTGACTCCAAGGTTGACAAATGGTAGTATATAGAGACAGCTGTGCGGTGGTGTGAAGAACACTGGATTTTGGATCAGAGGACCTCTGCTACTTTCTATCTCTGAGAAACTGGGAAAGTCATGCAACCACATGGGGCCTCCTCTGTAAAAGGAGGGAGCTAGACTGGAGCATCTCGAATGTCCCTTCCAGCTCTAGATTCTATGATAACTACACACAGCTGATCCTTAGTTGATAAAAAAAGAACATTGTCCTGGCACGTTTGTTTCTCGACAAATAGCTGGCGATGGCATCTCTGAACTAGCAATTTTATGAGTCTACAACTCCCAAGGTAGACTCTAGCAGCCTTGTAAAGGGACCCTATTTGCAAACCAAAGAGATTTCTTCTACTTTAAAAAATATCAATAGCCAAGCCAATTGAGGATTTTATAAAATGTAAAACTTTCAACAAAATCCAGACAATTACCTTCTTCCTCTCCGGAGGGACCATTCATTTGCCTTCAGAAATTATGAAGTCCTAATATTGAGATGAATAATGATGGAGTTCAATGAAGAACGCCGGAAAAAATACGGGGAGAAAAAATAAAAAATAAAATGCACACAAGGAAGGGTCCCAAACCTCTTTACTTCAGAACAGCTGCTGGACATGGGAAGGGGTCGGAGGAGTGACCCCTCCTTCCTCATTCCTATTGGTTCTGATCCTCTGAGGTTGATTGGGTAGATGTCCCTTTCCCCTCCTCTCTCCATGCCCCCTTTGGCTCCCCTCCCCGATTTCCCCGTTTGGAATTTTCTGAACTGGAGGCTTGTGGGGGCTGTTGAGGGGCTTCTGATTACAGCTCGGCCGCGGGCGTCACCCTTCTTCTCGGTTGCTGGGGACCCTGCTCAGCTTCTAGGTCTCTGAAAAGTTTGGATTTGGGGAGCACCTCATTGGGACGTGTTGTCCCCAAGGGGTCTTAAGAGGAAGAGAGGGGAGATGACTGCATGGACGCGAATTGTGCTACTGCTGCCCTTGGCGCTACTTCTGCCCGCGGTGCCCGGGGACTGCCTGAGTCGGCAGGAGCTCTTCCCTTTCGGACCCGAGCAGGGGGACCAGGAGCTGGAATCTGGGGACGACTCCATCTCCTCAGCCTTGGAGCTCCGCCTGCGGATCCACTTCTATGACAAATATGATATCTCCTCCGTCTATGTGAGTACGGTCCTCGTGTGTGAGTGTGTGTGTGTGCGCGTGTGTGTGTGTATGTTGGGGTCGGAGTGTAAGGGAAAATGGGGAGCGAGAGAGAGAGGGGGATGGTGGGGGATATTCTGGGCTGGCGAAAGGGTGCTTGGAGCAGAGATGAGACCCGACGTGGGGGACGTGTAGACCCAGGCGCTCGGGGAAGGGCTCCTGAGGCAGTCTCGGGGCTTAGTGTGAGGGGAAGCTCTGGGGTCTCGTTAACACCCCTCGGGTTTGTATTTTCCGCGTCCCTACTGCCTCCTGTGCGCCGCTCCCATTCAACTGCGTTCTTGCCTTCCTCTCCGCTTCTCCCAAAGTCTCTTTGGGAGTTGCCTTTCAGTTGGTTTCCGCCGTCTAGAGAAGAAAGGAACCCGGGGAGCCACACTTTTCTCCACTTTGGCATCTCTGTCTTATGCTGCCTTTGAATTCCAGACAGGAATTTGCATCTCCTTCAAAAGAAAAATCCTAATGTAAGGGGAACTTAGCGCCTAGGAACTTTGCTTGTAATTTTTCCATTGTCCTGTTAGTTTGGAGGAGGGAGCGCACGACCTTCACTGTACAACTTGTACACTGTACAAGCCCAGGATTAAATCACCTTCAGCTGGCTTCAGCCCTGCATGGCCGAGAGCTGAGAACCCAGAGTCATGCTCAAATGCCACATGGTGCCCAAATCATAAGAGGTCAGAAGTGCTGACACGAAGGGGTTAAGACTGATTCTCTGTCCCTGGGTAATTAATTTGCAGAAGAAATCTCTATGTACTTCCAAGGACTGATTTCAGAGGCATTTTGTGTGTGGCTTTCAAGGTATCTTTTGGCAATGATTCACCTCCCTAAGTAGTCTTATTTTAGAGCCTAGACAGCAGTATAATGGACTGAGAGAACCCTTGTGATCTAATTTCCTGTTGCATTGTATTGTCACCATTGCAGGCCCTAAAAGAAGAGTGAAAGCAGGCAACCTTCAGAGTTCTAATGAACTTCACGTCTGATGACAGAAAATCTGTCCAGGCTTCTAGTAAACTCCATATATAAGTTGGGTTCCCCCCCCCAATGAAGTGTTACTGATCCCAACCCAATCTCATCTCTTTCTTCTCCCCCTCATGTGGAATTTATAGTTATTGTACGTGTTCCAGAAGTGGGGAAAATAAAACAAAACACACATACCATTGTATCCTTCCTGTTAAATGGACATGTTTTGTAAGAGGGCTGGTTGAACTCTGCCTTTGACAACGCCCACGTGTAGCTTGTCTGCTTTACATAAGAATGCTTAAGTCAAAAACTCACAGAGAATTGACTCTAAGCAGGGCTTTATTGCAGAACCCTCCAAGGGTTCTTTCTATCTATTGTGCTGCTGTCTGGTCTCTAAAATAAGCCTACTCAGGGAGGTGAATCATTGCCAAGAGAAATCTTCAAAGCCACACACCAAATGTCTTGGAACTAGAGTTTAAAAGGGACCTTAGAGGTTGATATATATCCTACAAATTAGGATTTGTTCAGTGAAGTTTAAATTCAGTCAAAGGGATGCACTCGAGGACCTAGAGAGCCACATGTGGCCCCGAGGCTGCAGGTTCCCCAACCCTGAGCCCAGCAGATAGAGAGGAGGGTCTGAAAACCAAAGTTCAAATGTGACCTCAGATGCTTTTTTAAAAAAAATTTTTTTGGGGGCAGCTAGGTGGTGCAGTGGATGGAGCACCAGCCCTGAATTCAGGAGGACCTGAGTTCAAATGTGACCTCGGACCAAACACTTGATATTAGCTGTGTGACCTTGGGCAAATCACTTAACCCCCATTGCCTCACCAAAAAAAAAAAAAAATTTTTTTTTATACTTTTAGGCAATGGGGGTTAAGTGACTTGCCCAGTGTATAGGTTCAGGGTCGGCGCTCTATCCACTGCACCACCTAGCTGCCCCCTGACCTCAGATGCTTACTAGCTGTGTCACTGGATGAGTTAATCTGTTTGCTTCAATTTCCTCAACTTTAAAATGAAGATAATAATATTACCTACCTCCCTGGGTTGTTGTGAGGATTAAATGAGATAATATTTGTAGAACACCTGGCACATAGTAGGTGCTTAATAAATACTTATTTCCTTCTTTCTATCACAGAAGCAGTTTTAAATCTGGAAGGGTCCTTAGAGGTCATTCAGTCCAACTCATTCATTTTGCAGATGACAACACTAAAGCCAAGAGAGGTTTTGTGACTTGTCCAAAGTTACCAAATCTAGGTCCTCTGATTCCAGATCTAGTATACTGGTCATCTTGTCTAACTCTTTCATTTATGGATGAGAAAGCTGAAGTTCAGATATTCCCACAAATGACCTATGCAGCTTTAAAGTTTGCAAAGCTCTTTGGATACATTATTTCATTTGTTTCTCACAGCAACAGGGACCTGCAGGTACTACACCCCCATTTTATAGAAGAGGAAATTAAGGCGGTTAGAGGTTGAGCAGTTTGCGTATAGTCATACAGTGTCAGAGGCAGAATTTGAACCCAGGCCTCTTGTTATTCCAGGACTCTTTCCTGTGGTATTAACCTAAATATCTGGGGACATTCTAAAGACTTGGAAACAAGCTCTGGGATTTGATTGTTTCCAAAATAAATTTCTATCATTCCATTACCTGAATGACTGGGTAGGTTTTTATTTTTTGTATATATGTGAGAGAATTCCAAACTCTTTTTTTGGATATTGGATAGTATATGTAAGAACTAAATATTTTATGAGCAGTACTGAAAGCCTTTTGGTATCCTGAGAGGGAAGAGGGTAAAGTTGATCATTTATTCTTCTCTACTCTGTGCCTAGATCTCTTCTAGGAACGTTTTAGGCCACAGGGGTGGGGAATCTATGACCTCGAGATCACATGTGGCCTTCTAGGTCCTTGGGTGCAACCTTTTGACTGAGTCCAAGTTTTACAGAACACATCCTTTTATTAAGGGGATTTGTTCTGTGAAGTTTGGATTCAGTCAGAGGGCCGCACTTGAGGACCTAGATGGCCACATGTAGCCTCAAGGCTGCAGGTTCCCCACGCTTGACTCTAGGCACATCTAAGATACAGTGAAGAATAAGAGGAAAGGCATCCTTATGCTCAGGGAGTTAACAATTTGGTTGAGAAGATACACTCAATTAATATACTAATAATAATACCCAACTAATACACTCAACTAATATACTTTTAATATATAATGGTCCCAAGTACAGTAAGAAGTCATCATGAGAGTTGGTATGAATTAGAGCAGTTAGGGAAAGCTTCATATAAGAAGAGAGACTTGAGGAGTCTTGAGAATAAGGCTAGACTTGAAGTATCATGAAAGGGAGAGGAGATTCTAGGCAGGGAAATCAGTATAAGCAAAAGCGTGGAAGCAGAAATAAGTATGTCATGTTGTGGGGCCAGTGAGGACTGATCATTCCTTTAAGAGACATTAGCGATCATCTAATTGAACTCCTTTACCCTAAAGATAAAGAAACTAAGGCAATCTGTCCAAAGTCACACACGTAATAAGAAGCAGAGTCAAATTTGAACACAGACCTTCTGATCCCTGATCTGAGGTACTTTCTACATGTTTGGGAAATATTAGGATATGAGATTAGGTAGTTAAGATGGAGTCACTTGATGAAAGCGTTTGAAAGTCAGGCAGAGGAATTTGAATTTGAGGGATAGGTTGTAAAGGAAGCACGTTAGGTCCTAAAGACAAAATGAAAGCAGTGCTTTGAAAGGGGTGTCTGAGATGGGCTGCAGTGGACAGATGGCAGGGAAGTTAGGTGGAGGCTGTTGGAGTAATCTGGGCCTAGATCAGGGAGTGGTAATGAGGAAGAAAAGGAATGTGTGAATCCTATACACATTTCAAAGGAAGAATGATAAAACATAATGACAAGTTAGATTTAGGAAATATGTCAAAGATGGTCTTATTTTGGGGATGTGAGAAGGTGTCGTTGGAAAGGGGCTCTGGTTTCAGAAGAAAGGGGAATTCTTTTTTTAGCCTTGAATTTAAGGTCACGTATGGTTGGACGATCAAGTGGAGATGTCCTCCTGTAGGCAATTAGAAATAGAGACCTACAAGTGAGGTCTGCAGAAAAAGATAAAACAACTATATATTTAATGTTATTTATAAAATGACTAGGTACATGCCAGGTAGAACATCTTAGGCTTAATATGGTGAAAACTGAAAGCAAGGAAAATTTAATGCCTATGAATTAGGCAGGAAGTTTGGTCTGGTAGAAAACTTAGATTTGAAGTCGGAGGACGTGGTTTAGGATCTTGGTTTTGTTACTTAGCGTGTGTGTGACCTTGGGAAAGTCATTTAACTTTGGGGTTAATTTACTTATGTGTAAAATGAAGAGGTTGGAGTAGATGGGTCCTAAGGTTCCTTTCATGTCCAAATCTATGATCCTCTGAAATAGATTGAAGTGATTAGCCATTTTGACACAGCATTTTCTCACTGAAGATTTACTCAATAGGCCCCTACATTATATTGTTCTAGTGTCTACACAGTATCCCATTCTATGAAAATGAAAGGTCTAAGTTCAATCTCCCCAGTGCATGCTCAGCAGATGTGACCAGCTGTTCTTTGGACACAAGCCTATGTACTAAGGGAAAAAGGTCATGCTTGAATAATCATTCCTGAATCAGATCACTGAGCCACTGAAAATGTCATATGGGATCTGCCACCTTGATCAATGGCCAGTGATAATGGGTCGGTGAACTTCATTTTGTTTCCTGGGAAAATTCTAGAATGGATCATTAATCATCAAAGAGATGATTAGTGAACATCTAGAAAATGAAGTATTAATTACAAACAGCCAAGACAGCTTTATCCAGAACAGGTCATGCCAGACTAACCTTCTTTCCTTTTTTTTTTTTTTCCCACAGGGCTATGAAACTGTCAGATGAGGGAATGCTATGAATATAATTTATATAGATTATAGCAATGTTTTCATAAAGTATCTTATACTTCTCTGATGAAAAAGATAGGGTCTAGATGA